GAACCTTCGCCCTTCTTCTCAGGTGATTCTCTGCAGCTTTGTACACATTTTAGCAATCTTTTTTTTTGGGGGGGATGTGGGGGCATTTTGCTTTGGGTTGATGGGATGGAATAGATTTTTTTTGTGTGTGCTTTTACCTAGGTTTAAGATTGATGATGCTATTTGTATTTTGCTTGCATGGAAGATGTTCTTTCTTTGGCTTTTGTTTTTAGGTTGGTTGAAGGATTATTTGGTATTGTGTTTAAGTCAATAAAGGGCAGGTTTGGAAGAAATGTTAAGATGGTTATGTAGTATTGAACATATTGTAATGGAATGCAAGGATTGAAACTTTTCTTTTATTATAATGAATTACCTGTAGAGTTTTCTCCATCTTACTATGTAATTTTGTAACTATTCCAAAGATCTTTGTCCTTCCAGTTACTCCAATGAACACCTTGGCCCAGGAATCCAATTCACTGGTTTTTGGCCGCATGAATGTTGTCAATCCTCATGACACAAGACAGTACCTTTATTGCCTAAAGCCGAAGCCAGAAGCGCGCATGAATCTGTCTTTGTTGCGGCAAGCTACAGCCATAGGCAAGCTTGACATTGTATGGCGAACTAACATGGGTGACCGCGGTAGGCTGCAAACAAGCCAGCTTCAGAGAATGGTTAGTGTTATGAAAGTGCTGTTCATTGAAATGTATTATAGATATCTGGATTTGATTTATAGGTTTTCATATAGGATAAAGGGGTTACTTACATCTTTAACCCATTGGTGCCAGGAGCATATATGTACATGGCCACTGTAATTTCCATATATTAATTTAGTTTGCATATAGATGCCTCCAGGAATGCTTCATCACCAGGGAGTCACTTACTATGTGTAACTGATCTCATTTGTCTACCCCATTCTTTTAAGTTTCACAAAGAAAAGGTTTTGTTTTCATTACCATTATTATTGTTGATAATGTTATAGAAATGCTTAAGTTAATGGCTAGTAAATGACTTCTTGAAAACAAAATGCTATCTTTGTTTTGACAAAATTGACAAAACAAATTACAGTAGACAGTTTGTGTACTTGGCACCAATGGGTTAAGCAAGATCTGTCTATGTTACTGACTCTGCTTCTTTTTCTATGTTGTTTCTTTTTCAATGTTGTTTAGATTTCAGACTTTTTCTAAGGCAGTTGATCAAATGAAGTTCATCTGCAGTTCCTTTAGAAGACATCTTAGTTCTGTTTCTAATTGTATGATTTACACACAGGCACCACAATATGGGGATGTGAGAGTTACAGTAGAAAAGATACCAAATGTTGTGCAGTTGGAAGAGCAATTTTCTGTGGGCCTGTCTATCACAAATATATGGTAAGGGTGATATAAGAATGACCTAATGAAAAATTGACCTAAACAAAAAGATCACAGCAATCCAGTGTCATAGTATTAAAAACCAAGCTGTATTATCCTGATGCATAAGAGTTCAGATGTGTATGTTTCAGTTAGGGAGAGATTAAATTTTGATTGTTCATTGACAGTGAAAGGAACCTAGAACTGCACTTGGACTTCCTGAGTGGTGGCGGTGGCTCAGAATGGAATGGGGTTAGTAGCCGGAGCCTGCCACAGCTTCAACCTGGAGAGTCAACTTCACTCTCGCTTTCTCTTGTTCCTCTACATACAGGATTACAGGTGAGTAGTATTGATATGATCAAAGATTTCTTGGCCTTAATCTTTCAAGAAATGCTAACGTAAATGGATGTCAAATGCTCAATTTGGTTTCATTTCCAGACAATCGCTGGGGTTCGTTTGACGGACACCTTTCTCAAACGGACATATGACTACGAGAACCTTGCTCAGGTGTTCGTGACCAATGAGAAGACAAAAGAAAAGGAAGATTTCTTCTCTGCTTGGATAAACCAACCTGTTTAAGTCCATTCATTGAACTTGGAAGTTGAGAGTAGAGCATTAAAACAAATGTATATATGTGTACATGGCTTGCTGTTATGAGAAAGTTTGAGTGGAAAAATCTGATTTATTACATAGAATGAGGTTTGAAAATTGCAATGTCTCTCGTGTATTTTCCATTTCTGTGTTGACATTCCAGATATGAATGTTTGTTCATCTTCATATTATCATAAAGTCTGTGCTGTAGAAAGCAAGGTCTTGTTACAAAATTAGCCTTTGTATAAGATATTACTCATTGTAATGTAACTGCTCTTCTCTGTATGTAATCCTGAAGTTATTTGGAATATTTGTTTGAGTATTTATTATTATGAGATATATTTGTGCAGTTTTATTGTTTTATATGAATTAGTATGGAATACATAAATATCAAGACATTTTGTTCAGACTGTCTTGTATAAAATAATATGTTGCATTTATTGTTTTATTTAATCATGAATCAAAAAATTTGTTTTAACGTTTAGTCATTTAGTACCTTTTTAAGATGCGTGCTTAGCCACTTAATTTATAATGCCCTTTCTGCATGCTTGCATTGTATTGGAATGTTTTTAGATAGATTTACA